ATTTTTAAAGAACAAGCACACTTTTCAAATAAAACAAAAAAGATAAGTTTCAAATGATAAAATTTATATTATAAAATGTAGTATTTAGACACTTTTTGGTCGTTAAACTCAGTAGAAAATATACATATTTGTGTGAGGGGACTAGTAAAGCCCAAAATGACGGCATGTGAAAACATTTTTCATGACAAGACAATGTGAAGAGGCATAATTCATAAATGTTTGTTTACCTATATGGCAATTATACATCCATATACGGTGACCATCATATCGACATCTGCATTTGACAATGTTATTGGTGTAATCTGACTCTGAAACCTCATAATTGGGGTTAATTATGATCTGTCAGAAAGAGTGAATACAGTCAGTAAAAACAATTAATCCCAATGTCTGTTTCCAAGAACCAGGATAACAGGATTCAAAAGAATTTCTTTGGTGCTAAAATTACTACTATTTTGGAAATGCCTGGAAATTACCTGGAATATGTAGTCTCCCGGTTTAACATCTGTAATGTCCACCCACTGGCAGTCAATATCATGTCTGTATGTATCCCAGCAGCCCACTGTGATCCCCTGCTCACCAAAGTTTGCACACTCGTACTTCTTATCAATTCCTAATAAAGTTAACAATACAAAGAGCATATCATAAAAGTTGATCACATTACTGTAAATTTAATAATTCAATTTCAATACCAATAATACAGAGTTAGAGTGAGGTGAAATTCTATTTACTATTGTGGGCTACAAAAACAGGCACATTCTTTCATACCTTCATCACATTCTGAGTCCTCTAGACAAAAGCTTGCTTTGTGTCCCTCTGCCACCTTGGTACCATTGTTGCTAAGTAGGTCATAGTGGGTGAATACTTCCATGCTGTGATAGTGCCTGAAACAGTAAAAAGAAAATAAATCTAACTACAAGTAAAAATATACACTACCGTTTTAAAATTTGAGGTTGGTAAGATTATTTTATGTTTTTGAATTAACTCTTTTATGCTCAACAGAGGCTGCATTTATTTGATCAAAAATACAGCTAAAACAGTAATACTGTAAAATAGCATTACAGTTTTAAATACTGTCTATTTTAATATATTTCAAAACGTAATTTATTCCTGTGATGCTGAATTTTCAGCAGCCTGAATGCACTCCAGTCTTCAGTGACACATGATCCTTTAGAAATCATATTAATATGATTTCAGATGTCAGTTATCTGACCCCTCACCTGTGGCAGTCATGCCAAACCCAGCTCTCTCTGGAGGCTTTGGGTTTGAAGTCAGATTGTCCATTGTTGTGGATCTGGGAGGAGAACCGGA